TAGTCCAGTTGACATTGAGAGCATTGAGGTGACTGGGGTAAAAGTTACTGTTTCAGAGTGTGATGTGTGTTTTATGTTTCCTCCAGTGGTGTCTGTTGATAATGGTGGTATGGAAGCCTCTGATGTCACTGCATGTGAGTTGCTTGCAGGGGATGAGGCTGAAGTGTCATCTGTGGAGGATGTTGACGTGGGCATTTTTGACACTGTGGAAGGTTTGTGGCTGACACTAGAAGGAGATGAAGTGCGTGCTTCCCCAGAGGTGGAAGTCTCCTGTGAGATGCTCTCTGTCAGGGTGTGTCCACTTAGAGATGATGCAGGAGGTGATGTGATCACTGCTGAGATAGTGCTGGTTTGAGATTCCCTGATGGTGTCCATGGTCTGAGTCCCGTGGCGTTGAGAAGACACTGTTGTCTCTGAAGCAGAAGTGATGGAAGAGGGTGCCATGGACTCTTTCTCTAGTCCAGTTGACTCTGAGATTGTTGAGGTGGCAGAAGTAAAACTTGATGTTTCAGGGTATGATGTGTGTTGTGTGTTTCCCACAGTGGTGTCTGTGGAGATTAGTGTTTGGTTGAACTCTGATGTAACGACATGTGTTTTGCTTGCACTAGGAAAAACTGAAATGTTCTCTGTGGAGTTCAGTGACTTGGACATATCTGACGTCATGGAAGATTTGTTGCTGATAGTGGAAGCAGTTGAAGTTCCTGTGTTGCCATAGGTGGCTGTGTCCTGGGAATTGTTTTGTGTAAGGGTTTTTGTACTTAGGTTGGATGAAGTATTTGGTCTGCTCGTAGCCAAGTTAGTGCTGGTTTGAGAGTCTGTCATGGTCTTTTTCATGATGCTGGGTTGAGGTACTCCAGTGGTCTGTGTTGTCTGAGCCTGTCCATTCGTGGAAGGTGCTGATATATCAGAGTAGAAATAACAAATTATCCTGTTGTTGATTGTACCTCTAGTTTACATCTTGGGCAGGCTATTGAGCTGAGTTTTGTTTTTTTATCAAAGCCAATTAAATGTCTACTTTTCCTCCTCATTTTTAACATTTCTTCCAATCTAGCAGATACTAAAGAGTGAGAGTACATACTCTATCCCTGGTCATGTTATAACATAATGGTAATTTAATTGATCATGCCTATTTTTTTTCAATTTACTTGCTATGCCGAATATTTACATACTAATCTGGTTTGTTTAAAATATT